TTGACCTCTCTGACCTCGTGTTCCTTTGCAAGCTCATCCCCCTCGATTTGGCCATGAAAGACCCCAAGCCTCTTTTCTCCTAAAGAAATCCCACCAATACACACATGCTCACCGACTATCTGCACTGGATGTCTCACCTATGCAGACTGTGTGCGGAGCTGCTAACCACGGGGCAGGAGCTAGAAATGGCCAGCTGCTCCCAGGGAAGAAAGACGAGGCCGTCTACTCCCTGAGGTTGGGAGACACTCAAAATAAAACGGAGGCAGAGCTGCCTCCGCAAATAGAGCCAACAATCGGGATGTGAATGGAATAAAGCTTCCAGGCCCTTCATTTCCTGATGGGCAGGACTCTAAGTGAGAAAACAGTTGCAAATATTCATTAATAATGGAAACGTGGATTGTACCATCTAAGACCATTGGAAGCCGTCTGTGAGCGGAAATGGACTGGTACTGGCCAATTTGAATGAGAATCATATGGTTTGCTATGCTAGGAGTGACAAATCATGAGGAATGGTGTCATAGGCATTGTTAAAAAGATACTCAAGCTCTATCTTGAGGTATAATACTATCCATGATAGGACAATTATCTACATGCCCACAAAGAAGTCCAGTTAATACAGCTATCATTCATATTTATGCACCAACCACTAAAGCTAGTGATGAAGAAATTGAAGAACTCTACCAGCGTCTTCCATGATCACTAGTGGTGACTGGGTTGCGAAAGTTCACAAAAATGAAGGCAGAGCAGTAGGAAAACCTGTCCTTGGTGACAAATGAAACCGGAGATCACATGATAGAATTTTGCAAGACCAAGGGCTTCATTGCAAATGCTTTTTTCCAACAATATAAATGGTGACTCTGCACCAGAACCTTGCCAGATGAAACACACAGCAATCACCTGACTACGTTTATGCAAAGAGATGTTGGAGAAGCTCAATATCAGCGACCAAAGAAGGCAGGGGCTGACTGGGGAACATCAACTGGTCACATCGAAAAATTCAGCGTGAAGTTGAAGAAGATTAAAAACAAGTCCACAAGGGCCAAAATACAACTCTGAGTGTTTTGATTCCTTGAATACTGATGGCAGAAGACCTGTTGAGCTATGGAATGACATCAAAAAGGCAAGTAAGAAAAGACTAAAGGGGATGTCAGAGGAGATGCTCTTGGATGTAGAGTGAACCCAAGAACATAGAAGAAATGAAGTAAAAAAATCTGAACAGAATATTTCAAAAGGCTGCTCCGGGAAATAATGCAATGAGCAAAGACCTCAAATTAGAAAGCCAAGATAAGATCACACTCATATCTCAAGCAGAGAGCACTGAAGAAAAACTCCAAAGCTGTCTTGGGTTGCCATATTCGGCGGTTCTGTGGCGGAAAACACTGAATGGTGCAGGTAGCATCAAAAGACAATGGCGGGGGTACAGTCTCTGTACCAAAAAGGGCTGTCCGTGGACCTTCAACCTTTTTAAGAGGTTGAATCAAGGTACTGAAGGAAGTCCAAGCTGCACTGAAGGCATTAGTGAGAAACAAGGATCCAGGAATTGACAGAATTCCAATTGAGCAGGTCATGAGGCTGCCGGCTTAAAAGGGGGCGGCGGCTGAGAAATCCTTTGTCCCATAATCTTGGCTGCCGGCCCCTTAGGTCTCCAATGTTAGTTCCCTTTGGCCATTTAGCTCCCAAACAGGCCGGTTACAAGAGGAGGGCTCTCTCAGCCTGGGAGGGTATAGGGGGTGGGGAAGTGGAGAGGGGGGTGTTTCTCAATGGGGAGGGGTCCCTTGGAATACCTCCTGCGGCCTCGCCCTCTGGACCAGTGTGCGCTGGCGCCATCCCGTCCGCTGCCTCCATCGCGTCCTACGAAGCTGCCCCGGCGAGCGGGGCCTATTTTCCCTGGATGGCAAAGCAAAAACACCTCGCACTTAGTCGTGTTCAGACATGCAGGACACACACCAGTCAGCCCCCAGGTAGCGCCAGGTGTCCACCTGGGACGCCCCTTCCCCCACCTGCCCGGGTCTGCGTCGGATGTGCCCGAGTCTAGCTCCGCGCCCTCCTGCCGGGAGCACCCCCGCTGCCCAGCCTTCCACCCGGGCTTGTCCGTCACTGAGCTTTTCTTACTTCTTGTTTTAAAGCGGAGCCAGGCCAGGTTATAAGTTCCCGCCTTTCTCGCCTTCGAAACGAGCCCAGTCGGTCCCGACGTCCTTTGCGCTTCCGGCGTCCTTTGTGCTTCCGCCGTACAGAAACATGGCGGCGCTCAGCACCCCTCCCCGATCCCAGAATGCACCGCGGACTGAGCCCAGCCTCCCCGACGGTCGGGAAGATGGCGGCCCCTGCCGCAGAGCCGCAGTTCCTGGTACAGTACTTGGTGCTACGAAGAGATCTATCGCAGGCTCCGTTCTCCTGGCCCGTGGGCGCCTTGGTGGCGCAGGCGTGTCACGCAGCCACCGCGGCCCTGCATATCCACCGCGACCACCCGCACACGGCGGCCTACCTCGGGGAGCTAGGGCGCATGCGCAAGGTGGTTCTCGAGGTGAGTCCCACCCCTGCGGGAGGGGCGGGGCGCCGGGCCGGAAGTGGGTGTGCTGCCGGGTCTCGGGGTTTAACTGCGTGTGTTGGGGGTGTCCCCCGATTTCGGAAAGGTAGTGGTTTAAGTGGCTTACGGCCCCGGGCTCCTGCTCTCAGTGAAGCGCGGACAACTAGTCGGTTTTTAATATTTCACCGCATCTCCCTGGCGTCACAGGGCGCTGTAGATGGGTTGTGGACGGAGGCTGGCGGAGTACGACCTAGCTATCTGAGGGCGTTTTAAAGACCTGCCAAAGGGGAAGACCCTGGGAGGGTTGCAAGAGAGGCAGATAAGTTATGCACAAACCCTGCAACAGTGGGGATCGTGCATAGACACGCAGGCCCCTCTGGTGTGGAAGGGAGAGTGGATACATACACGGGTCTGACAGGATATTTGCACACCGTGTGTACTACTGTTGCAAGTGTATCTATCCATGGATGTGATTGGAGCCTCCAGAGGCCAAAATATCAAAACTTAGATATAACCCAACACTGAGGAAGTGGGTTCCTGGGCCTGGGGGATCAGGGCCGTAGTCTTTAAGACACGGAGAACATTCATAAAGAAAATGTACTACATCCTACTTCGGTGAGTAGAGCCGGGATCTTAAAAACTTATGAGCAGCCATTTAAGGTCTCTCCCCATCCAGAGGAAAGAAGTGATGAAAATGGAAAGACACAAAAACTACTAGTCTCACAACCCTGAGACCCCAAAACTAGATGGCCATGTACGTCTACAATTGCTCTGAAGGGATCCCATTAGAGCCTCAACCTGTGGGTCACAACCCTTTTGGGGGTCAAACGGCCCTTTCACAGGGGTCGCCTAAGACCATTGGAAAACACATAAATATTTCACAATATATAATTACATATTGTTTTGTGATTAATCACTGCTTTAATTATGTTCCGTTTGTAACAATGAAAATACATCCTGCATATCAGATATTTGCATGATGATTCATAACAGTAGCAAAATGACAGTGATGAAATAGCAACAAAAATAATTTTATGGTTGGGGGTCTCCACCACATGAGGAACTGTATTAAAGGGTCATGTCATTAGGAAAGTTGAAAACCACTGCATTAGAGGGTCTTACATAGAGGGGAAGGAAAATGAAACAAGAGACCAACTTGGTCATACAGAGATTGGAGGGACCCTCAGAATTATGACCCTTAGTCGCCTTTCAGGTTTAGAACTGACCTTGCCACCCTGCTAGAAGAATCAGCTATTTCAGACTCAAAGGGCAGCATCTACCCCAAGACAGAGAAGGTCAGGAAAGGAGGAGGTAGGGAAATGGGAAACAGAGGGAGGAAAGGGGGTCAGGGACAGACCACTGGGGGACGGCACTGGATGGACTGGAACAGAATGTGTGTGAATCGTTGAATGTAAAACATGATCTCCTGGATAAACCGTCCATGTCATAACAAAAAGTTGAAATAAAAGACTGCCAGGAAATAACACCCGCTTTCAAAAGTGACCAGAAGGGACCCAGGGTTCCCAACGCCATGGAGCAGGGCCTGGTGAAGTCCAGCACCTGGATATGTTTCCAGATCATTTTAAAGTAAGGTTAACATCCCTACTGGAGCTTGACCAAGCACCAGAAATCCCAGACCAAACCAAAATCAGACCTACTGCTATGGAGTCCGTTCTGACGCAGAGTGAGCCTATACAGGGTGTCTGAGGCCGAAAATCTTGACGGGGGCAGACAGCCTCATCTATCTCCTGGTCGGTGTGAACTGCCAACCTCGTGGCTAGCAATCCAATGCTTACCCAACAGCCTTACCTGACGGCATAAATCAGTGCCACTCACTGCCACCAAGCCAATGCTGACTCATAGTGACCCTATAGAATTGGGTAGAACTGCCCCTGGGGGTTTCTGAGCCTGTAACTCCCCATCTCTCTCCTGCGTTATAGCCTATTTAATCGTGATGCCCTTTAAAAAGTAGCGATACGCTTCTTGCTGAGTCTTTGGGTGGTATAAATGGTAGTGCTTCTTAACTGCCAATGCCAAGGGTCGGCACCACTGAGAAGCACGTGGAAAGAAAGACCAGACAGTGCACTTCTGACAAATCAGACCTCGACAGCCCTACGGAGCACAGCTCTCGTCTGGCACAGGCGGAGTCCCTGAGTCAGGACCGGTCTGAGGTCTCTGGTGCTGGTAGAGGAAGAAGGGTGTAGATGCCAGCAGGTCCAAAGGCCTCCAGTACTGTGCTGCTGCCGCCGCTGCCATGTGTGACTCCTGCTGTCACTCAAGCCCTCCTGGACCTGCTCCCATACCAGACCGCGCAGGGTCCCCAGTCGTGCTTATCATCTGTTAATTCAGAGAATAATATGCAATCAATATAGATGTAAAGTGCTGACATGTTGTATTCCTTAGGTCATACGGATACTGGCAACCCCGTTGTAAAACCTTTCTGCATTGAGTTGCGATGTGCTTAGTTCCATCAATTGTAGTACCTTTCTGATTCTTCTCCTTTTCCTTTAATGACCGCTTCATTCCCACAAACGTTAAGGAAATCTGATGAAATGAGCAACGATCAAACCCCCAGCAGCAAGGGAAGCAAGAGCGCGTGCATGTCAGGGGTGTGCGGGTGAAGCCCCGTGGCAGGGAAGCATCAGTGTCGTTGGGTGGTAATGACAGCTCTGCCCAGCACACCTGGCACCCACTGCCATCGAGGCCCATCTGACGCAGGGCGATGCTGCAGGACAGAGTAGAGCTACTCTCCAGGGTTCTGCGGCTCCCATAGGTCTCTCCCAAATCTCTCTCCTGTGGTTAACAGCCCAAGGGTTAACCCAAGGCACCTCAGACACCTCTTCCGGCCGTAAGAGAACCATAAAATAAGTACAGTAATGACTGACAGCTCATTTACCATCTTAAAGAGACAAATATCCTTGTCACAAACAGGAACCCTAAGCCCACGACCATCACCCCCATCCACCACAAACACACCACCCCTGGACCCCAACTCTTCCCCAGGCAGCTTACCTGAGAGCCTGCAGTCAGTGAGCCCCGAGCTAAGGGTGGAGCTATTGCTCCTTGGGTGAAGCCAGTCCTCTGCTTTCAGTTGAGGGGAAGCTCCCTTTACTTGGGCGTGTTGGCACTTCCATCTGTGTTCCACTCCCTGTAGGCCCCAGATGAGAACACCCTGAAGGAGCTGGCGAGGACCCTACAAGAGAAGAGCGTGGACCACACGCTGTGGCTGGAGCAGCCCGAGAACATCGCCACGTGCATCGCGCTGCGGCCCTACCCCAAGGAGGAAGTGAGCCAGCTCTTGAAGAAGTTTCGATTATTCAGGTGACTGCTGCGACCTGGGGCTTTGTTCGGCTGGACTCCGAACAGCATGCCACCCACCCCTGAGCGCCATGGACTCTCAGGGCCAGCTCGCTCTTGCCGTTAAGTTAGGACAGGGTCAAAATTATACCGATTAAAGGTGTTATTAACAAGGCCTTCCTCTTTCGGTGCATATGGGGGAAGGAGGTGATACAGTTCATGGACATCTTGGTTAGATTCTTACACAGGGGCCCCCGAGCTCCCCAGCTCTCTCACCGTGGCCGTGGTTCGTCTTCGTCCTGGGGTAAATGCTGCCTTTGTATCTCAAACAGCTGACTGGCTGTCGAAGGTGTGCATACCTCCCAGCTCTACTTTCTCCCTTAGAGACCCATCCGTTGTTGGCATGAAAATGGTGAACTTGGGCAAGTCACCCAACTTCCCTGATGCCACTTCCCTCGTTGCTACAGCTGGGCTTTCCAGGCCTGCTGGGCAATTCAACGAGATACCACATTTGTACATACAAATCCCCTACAACAGCGCCTGGGCACTGGTGCTGGAACCGAAGCATCAGGAGACGCAGTGCCTCCCCTCGGAGAGCTCCCTGTCAGGGAAGCTGTGGTCTCCTTCCTTTTCATCCAAGAACCATCCTGCCCCCTGCTGTTGATGCTTTGCAACATGTGTATGCAAATGCGGGCCCATGGGACAGGACAGTGTTTCTGACGGGCCAAGTGTTCACGAAAGTTCAGGAGGATTGCAAACATGAATCCAGCTCCCAGAGGGCAGCTCAGAGGTCCTGGTGGCTGTTTTGTGGGACTGCAGAGGGATCAGCTTGATCGGTTTTCACACAGGGCAGAGGATAACCATGAGTGGGGCTGGGCGGTGGGAGGGTATCATGGTAAGTTTTAAGGAAAGGGAAAACCACACTGTGAGGAAAAGCCAGGAAACTGGTGCCAAGGGAGTTTTTTTCCCACCACTACAAAGTACCTACTGGCCCTTTTAAGCTGGCAAGGGCTTGTTCTGCAAGGGTTTTGTTGAGAGACTTTACCCCACCCGCCCCACAATCCTGATCTTGCCCAAGCAGACCCCTTTTGGTTTCCCAAATTCTAAGAACATTGGAAAGGAACGCCATTTGGGCCCTTTTGACATGGTATAAAACAGTGGTTCTCAACCTTCCTAATGCTGCGACACTTTGATACAGTTCCTCATGTGGTGACCTCCCAACCATCAAATTGTTTTCATCGCTGCTTCATCACTGTCATTTTGCTATGCTCTGAATCGGGTGAAGCTGGTGAAAGGGTTGTTCAACCCTCCAAAGGCGTAGAGACCCACAGGTTGAGAATCGCTGGTCTAAATCGAAAGGCATGGAATGCTTTGAGGGAAGGGTTGAAAAGGCCTTACAGTGCACAGTGCCCTCAGCAGGGTGTAGAGCCAGACAGCGGATAACCCCCTGGAGCCCGTGCCAACTCACAGCGACCCCGTGGGTTTCTGAGACGGTAACTGGGCGGGAGTTGAAAGCCCAGCCTATCTCCAGAGGAGCTGCTGGTGTGCGAACTGCCGGCGATGAGGACCGCAAGCCCCACGCGTCACCGCTATGCCACCACACGTTGCTAGTTCTGTTTAATCAAGGTTTGCAGAAGTTTGTAGCAATGTCCTTTTAGATAGCGGGTCTAGAAGACGTTCAAATGATAAGCCCGTGTGGCTTAGGCTCAATCCCGTACAACAGGGAGTACTCATGCTTAGAGGGAAGAGTCGGTGTGGAGGGCAATAGCCTGGCACCGAGGACATTCTGTGACAGCCTGGCAAACTCACAAGAGCCGTTCTGCCCCATCCTGTAGGGCTGGCAGGGGAGATGAGACCAGATGATGAATAAGTACACTCCATCTGACCGAGGTAACAAAAATAGGTATCCTCGCCATAGAGCAATTCCCCGATTGTGCTGGGAGCCCCCCAGGAAGCCCTGCACCCCGGAAAGGAATTCCTCCCGATGAAAGGTGAAGAGCTTGTTGCAGTGAGCAGCGGGCTCAGGGCCAGTCGGTGAAGCCCGGCCGCTTGTGCTGCACACTGATCGGAGCACCCTGGGCTCGGCCAGGGCCCTCAGAGCCAGTGGCAGGACGGCTTTTCCCAGGCCCCGCTTCTCCCCACCTGCTTGCGAATTTGGGGTTTTTCCAGCCACCTCGTTAAGGCGCGGCCTGAAAAAGGGTCACGCGTAGTTCAAGCGCTGTGGCGCTGTGGCTTCCATTATAAATGGGTTAATTGACATTTTGGGTTATAAATCAGCCTCCTGCGACTGTGAGTTGAGAGACTCAATCCCCGAGGGCCCCATTATCACGGGAGGAGCTGACAAAGTGGAGTTTCTGAACGCGCGTCACGCGGAGGATGCGCGCCCAGGTCACCAGGCGGAGCGGAGCGCAGCAGGTGCGCACTGCGGGTTTGGCGGCGCTCCCTGGGCAGGCTGCTTCCCCACGATCGATCGATCATGGCGCCTTCCTGCTCCCTGGGCAGCAGCCGGCCCTTGCTGCTAGAGCCCAGAGGAGGTGTTGGCGTGGGAAAACGGGTGGCCCCCCATCGCCCAAGCTTCACTGCCTTGAAGATCAAGCTTGGGCCGTCCCGTTCTCCCTCGTGGAGGCGGAGAGGCGCTCGCTAGGTGCTGGCCTCCGGCTGGATTGTAAGTGGGGGGGGTTGGGGGGTGGGGCTGGCAAGTCGGACCCACGTTCTGAACGGAGGTTCTTGAGACAGACACCGGGCAGAAGGGAAAACCAAAAGGTCACTTTTCTTAGGAGTGAGTGGGCTGGCCAGCCGCGTGCCATGGCCCCTGGGTTTGCGAACACCCTGTCCGGAGGGCAAGGGTGCTGAGGGGCCCTGGGGTGTAGTGGTGAGTGCCTGGTCTTGGCACAAGGGACTCCATTTTGAATCCGGCACCTTCTTGGTTCTCAGAACTCACCTCTCATGGGCCTCCCTCACATCGGCCTCCCCTCCCCTCGCTGAAAATCACCAGTTCTGAGAACCAGATATCCCCGAGAAAGAATGTTCTTTGAAGATATGTTTACTTCACCTACCCTGGTACCTATAGATAAGATTAACGACCACTTCCCTGCATCCCTTGAAGATGTGTTTATTCCACCCATCCCGGACCTATAGATAAAATTAATGAGCGCTTCCCTTTGAAGTCCCTGTGTGCAGCTGTGCCTGCCACCAGGGGATATAAAAACGCAGCCAGAAATTCCCCTCGCGCGGTTTCATTAGCTCAATACGTGAGTTACTGAACCCGTCCGCAAGCTTCTCAATAAAGCCTGCTTCTAAAACTTTACCAATTGGATCTTTAATTCCGCTTCGCGCCCCAAAAACCCTTACAGTGAGGAGCTGGGTGCTAACCGCAGCAGGTGGAACCACCAGTTGCTCCTTGGAAGCCCACAGGGGCAATTCCACCGTGTCCCGGAGGGGCACGAGCAGTTCCATTGGCGGCGAGTTTGGGCTTTTTTTGGAGGGAGAGTGTGAACGCACAAAGACCAACCATGCTTCCCGCCTCCTATGGGCGCCTGGAGAAGAGGTGGGCAAGCCCCGCACATTCACGCTACTGAACTCTGCTGGATGCGCTCCACCTAACAGAAATGTGACGAACGGCGAGCCCACCCCCCAAAGCCACCCCTGGGTTCATTCCACACTTCCAGGGTGGGCACGAAGCAGCCCACCTCAACACTGGGCGTCAGTCATGCCTGGTGGTATAGGGCTGCTAACTGCATGGTCAGCAGTTCAAATCCACCGGCTACTCCGTGGGAGGTTTTTTAAGACAATGTGAGTACCCTGGACTGCCAAGAGAACAAACAAGTCCGTTTTGGAAGAAATGCAGTCCTTAGAAGCAAGGACGGGGAGATGTCATCTTGGGTACTCCGCACGTCAGGAAAGCGCAGTCCCTGGAGACGGCTGACCCGCTGGGTGACATGGAGGGGCAGTGAAAGTGAGGAAGGCCCTGGACAATGACAGACTGATGCAGTGGCTGCCACCATATACTTGCACAGAACGATGGTGGGGCTGGCCCAGGGCCACGCGTGGTTTCTTTCTGCTGTACAGAGGGTCGCTGTGGGTGGACACTGGATGGCCCCTAACCCCACCACATGAATGACACAGGAGGAAGACTGGCCTGGCGATGGGCCCATGGCAGTTGCTGAGAAGGTGAAGGAAAACTGGGACACAGGGTGGTGGGAAACATTCAAGGCACAAAACTGTGATGCTGTGGCTGGAAGCACCGCAACCAGAAACCAGGTGGCCCTACCTCCTGATGGCACAGGTGGAGCGAGCAAGCCAGGTGATGAGCCACGTGAATGAGACTCAGCTCAACTCTGCTAGGTCATGCTAGGTCAGTCATTCCCCAGGGACGCCCGCACCTGTGAGTAATTCTTACAGGGCTTATGAGGACAAATGTAAATGATACCTTATGCAAGCACTAGATGGCGCAATTGGTTCACCATCGTCTGCTAACAGGCAGTGGTGTCCTCAAGAAAGGCCTGGCGATCTGTTGTCATAAAGATCACAGCGGAGAAGAGCCTATGGATTAAGTCTACTCCGCATAATTCACCTGTTCAGAAGGCCTGGAACATGGACAGCGGTGGTGGTCATTCACTGTTGTAAAGGCTGAAAGGCAGCAGTTAGATAGGAGTCTAGAATGAGAATTCTAGAGTTGAGAGAGTTAAACTATATAACTTTCTTTTTTTTAATCATCTTCTTGGGGGTTCATACAACTCTTATCACAATCCATCCATCCATCCATTGTGTCAGCCACATTTGTACATTCATTGCCCTTATCATTCTCAAAACATTTGCTCTCCACTTAAGCCCCTGGCATCAGCTCATTTGTCCCCCCTTCCTCCCGCTCCCCCTCCCTCATGAACCCTTGATAACTTATAAATTATTATTTTGTCATATCTTACACTGTCTGACATCTCCCTTCACCTACTTTTCTGTTGCCCATCCCCCAGGGAGGAGGTTATATGTAGATCCCTGTAATCGGTTCCCCCTTTCTACCCCACCCTCCTACCTACATAACTTTCAAACCTACTTGTGTGTGAATACATTGCTGGGGCATTGCCATTCAGATCCAGAGTCTCCAAGTCTGGGGTGAGCCCCGAGTCCTGGCCCATCCAATAAGCTCCTGGATGATGCTGACACGGCTGTACTGCAG